TAATTAATATAATATTAATTCTTAAAAAAAAAATCAATAAAATGTTTTTTAAAATAGTTTTTGATGGTGTATAAGACTTCACAGCACAGGACATGTCAATTGTCAAGGATTTCCAGACAGAGGATTTAGGCCACTAAATAAAGCTGCCAATTTTTTTTGTGTGTGTTTTTAAAAGAAATCTCTTATGTTCACCAAGGCTGCATCTATTTAATAATAAATAAAAAATGTTGTATTGTAAAAAGAAAAATTTCAGGATTTATTATTTGATAAATAGAAAGTTCAAAAGAACAGCACCTATTTAATGGAATGCTTTTGTAACAACGTAAAAGTCTTTACTATCACTTTTGATAAATTTAATGCATCCTTGCTGAATAAAACAATCTTTTATATAAAAAAAATTGTAGTGAACCCAATCTTTTTGAACAGTACTGTAGCCAATATCTTTTTAGTTTTTTTTACACAATGTGCCAAATTAATTTTTAAAGCACAAATACTCCATACAGTCTCTCAATTAATATAAAAACTGCATGCTACTATTAATTAATATAATATTAATTCTAAAAAAAAAAATCAATAAAATGTTTTTTAAAATAGTTTTTGATGGTGTATAAGACTTCACAGCACAGGACATGTCAACACCCAAGTACAGATGAGCAGGGATTTCCAGACAGAGGATTTAGGCCACTAAATAAAGCTGCCAGAGGAGTTGAGAAGAGTGCTGAGATCTAACCACAGTTCACCATCAGGCCATGCTACATGTTTGCTAGATTAAATTATCTGTAACTAACTGCTGTACAACACTGAACATCAAGATGGTTGAAAAGAAAACATTAAGTAGTGATTTGCGAACCAGGCACATTGATCATTCAGTATTTGGTCATTTTAAAATGATCAACATTGGCCAATCTGCTTCTGCAATTTTTAGTGAATTTTGAGAAAATATTGCGCACATATATATATATCTCCATCTTCTCCATGCATTCACAATATTGGATAAGGATTTTTAAAAACCATTTTTGAGACCGAATGAAATACTGTAAAGCTGAACATAATTATAAACTAATTAATTACACAAATGTCCAAGATATCTCCAGGTTGCCCATGATGACCATGTGAACACTAGCACTCTGTAAAGTCTGTAAAATAAATCAACATCTATAAATGTCAATCGTCAAATTTGGATCTTGTTTGGCGCACAATCAAATGAAATTCACCCAGTCTGAAAGGATTTCATCCTTGAAAGAGTTTTAGATGTCGTTTTAGATCGTGGTTTAATTAACTGAATGTTTAAAAATCTTTGGACTATTAACTGAACTGATTAGGTTCAAGGCCGGCATTGAAAAGATTAAACATCAGCCTGAAGTACCTTCTGCCAGAGTTTCTTCTACAGTGACCTGGTGTCTTCCTACAGTGAAAGCCCGTCCGATGAAATTCCCACCAACACTGCTGCTGGATCCAGAACCTCCAGCTCCCCCTCCAGAACCGGGTCCAGAGCCCACCAGCTCCCTCCGGGAGTCAAAGAACTTCTTCATGATGTATCAACGATCCCCTAACTACTTATTTGTGTCTATAAGAAACTGAAGTGGCTTGGTTGTTCTGGTGCCAGAGGTCTAGATCAGCTGTGACTGTCAAACATGGACTCGCAGCCCAATTCTGGTGCTGATCACAGCTTAAATGAACCGCATAGCAACAATAACGTACTAGCAAATAAAAACAAACAGTATATGTGCTAGATTAATACATCACATGTGTGTGTGTGTGTGTGTGTGTGTATCTATATCTACACACACACAGTCTGACAAAAGCTACTGGCTACTGTCAAAGAAAGATTTATCCTGATTGCAAGGTTTAGGAAAGATATTGACTTCAGTTGTGTAAGGAAAGAAACGAGAGCATTGTTCAATTATTTTATATTTAATAAAAATTATTTTGGTGTGATTTGACTTTTTTGTTAAACTTTTTTTAGCAAACATTAAAATGCTACTCAGATTTATTTTTCTTTTACAATATAATATTGAATTTAAAAGATGGTATATAAAGAAATGTACTTGTATATGGAAAATAATTTTTCCGCAAAAATGGAAATGGGCATCACAAAACGTTTACTCATTTTAAAATAGAAATAGGTCACTACTTCCATACTTCAAAAGCAAAACAGACATTACTGCAGATCCTTAAATATATTGTTTGTTTGATTGATTGATTAACAATAGTGCACAACATGACTGTGTTCGTTGTTCAAACTGTTGCAATAAAATATAGTTTACAGAGACAATAAAGCACCAATAAAAGACGAAGCAACTGTGAAAGAGGTTTATGTAAAACAGTGGTACTTTCAATTTTGTCAACTTTGTACCAAGAGGGGGTGCTATAACTTCCTATGCAAATGACGATTAAAGACGAAAGGCAGTCACTTGTCATGAGCTTCATGTACATAATTACAAAATTACTTTTTTGCTGCAAGATGTCAGATAGCTGGCAGCTTTCAACTTGTGTTTATTGTGTGTGTGTGTGTGTGTGTGAGAGAGAGAGAGAGAGTGTTTGTGTGTGTGTGTGTGTGTGTGTGTGTATCTATATCTACACACACACAGTCTGACAAAAGCTACTGGCTACTGTCAAAGAAAGATTTATCCTGATTGCAAGGTTTAGGAAAGATATTGACTTCAGTTGTGTAAGGAAAGAAACGAGAGCATTGTTCAATTATTTTATATTTAATAAAAATTATTTTGGTGTGATTTGACTTTTTTGTTAAACTTTTTTTAGCAAACATTAAAATGCTACTCAGATTTATTTTTCTTTTACAATATAATATTGAATTTAAAAGATGGTATATAAAGAAATGTACTTGTATATGGAAAATAATTTTTCCGCAAAAATGTAAATGGGCATCACAAAACGTTTACTCATTTTAAAATAGAAATAGGTCACTACTTCCATACTTCAAAAGCAAAACAGACATTACTGCAGATCCTTAAATATATTGTTTGTTTGATTGATTGATTAACAATAGTGCACAACATGACTGTGTTCGTTGTTCAAACTGTTGCAATAAAATATAGTTTACAGAGACAATAAAGCACCAATAAAAGACGAAGCAACTGTGAAAGAGGTTTATGTAAAACAGTGGTACTTTCAATTTTGTCAACTTTGTACCAAGAGGGGGTGCTATAACTTCCTATGCAAATAACGATTAAAGACGAAAGGCAGTCACTTGTACATAATTACAAAATTACTTTTTTGCTGCAAGATGTCAGATAGCTGGCAGCTTTCAACTTGTGTTTATCCACAATAGAAAATTTGCATCCTCTAATGCAGTGTTTCTCAACCAGGGGTCCGTGGACCCCTAGTGGTCCTTGACATAAGGCCAGGGGGTCCGTATAAAGTATGAATTTTTGTATAAATGTTGTATATTTTGACATGACACGTTCCCATTAAAGAAAAATCCAATATAGCTGATGATATGGCCAAATACTGGACAAGTCCGCTAACTTGAATTATACTTGACTGCATTTGGTCCTCACAAAGTCATGATACGAGTCAATTTTGTTCTGGGGGTCCTGTGTGTGTGTGTGTGTGTGTGTGTGTGTGAGAGAGAGAGAGAGAGAGTGTTTGTGTGTGTGTGTGTGTGTGTGTGTGTATCTATATCTACACACACACAGTCTGACAAAAGCTACTGGCTACTGTCAAAGAAAGATTTATCCTGATTGCAAGGTTTAGGAAAGATATTGACTTCAGTTGTGTAAGGAAAGAAACGAGAGCATTGTTCAATTATTTTATATTTAATAAAAATTATTTTGGTGTGATTTGACTTTTTTGTTAAACTTTTTTTAGCAAACATTAAAATGCTACTCAGATTTATTTTTCTTTTACAATATAATATTGAATTTAAAAGATGGTATATAAAGAAATGTACTTGTATATGGAAAATAATTTTTCCGCAAAAATGTAAATGGGCATCACAAAACGTTTACTCATTTTAAAATAGAAATAGGTCACTACTTCCATACTTCAAAAGCAAAACAGACATTACTGCAGATCCTTAAATATATTGTTTGTTTGATTGATTGATTAACAATAGTGCACAACATGACTGTGTTCGTTGTTCAAACTGTTGCAATAAAATATAGTTTACAGAGACAATAAAGCACCAATAAAAGACGAAGCAACTGTGAAAGAGGTTTATGTAAAACAGTGGTACTTTCAATTTTGTCAACTTTGTACCAAGAGGGGGTGCTATAACTTCCTATGCAAATAACGATTAAAGACGAAAGGCAGTCACTTGTACATAATTACAAAATTACTTTTTTGCTGCAAGATGTCAGATAGCTGGCAGCTTTCAACTTGTGTTTATCCACAATAGAAAATTTGCATCCTCTAATGCAGTGTTTCTCAACCAGGGGTCCGTGGACCCCTAGTGGTCCTTGACATAAGGCCAGGGGGTCCGTATAAAGTATGAATTTTTGTATAAATGTTGTATATTTTGACATGACACGTTCCCATGAAAGAAAAATCCAATATAGCTGATGATATGGCCAAATACTGGACAAGTCCGCTAACTTGAATTATACTTGACTGCATTTGGTCCTCACAAAGTCATGATACGAGTCAATTTTGTTCTGGGGGTCCTTGAGGATGGTTCTGAATTGAACTGAATTGAATACGCCAAAAGGTTGCGATTCACTGCTCTAATGCAATTAATTTGACTTCATTTCCATCATGTTTGATGTGCTTGCAGATCACAAGCATTTCCCTAATTTCACTTCAGAAATTTTTTTGTTATATTTTTGATACTGTTATCATTTGTAAAGTATATATATATATTTACTTTCCTTTACCTTTACCAAATGTACCTGTATTTACTTTGTTTTCATATTTGGCGACTTTTTGTGAAAAATGGAGACTTTTGAGGGTGGTTCTAGAGATTTTCTGAGGGAGGGGTTTGGCAACGCTGAGCGAGTCCTAGTTTCAGCACACTGTTCCACCGGTTATGAACTGTTCAGTCTCTTATCTCAACGTAATGTAAAGAGGAGGGGCCGTAAATGAGGAACTAAGACGATTCTGTCCATACAGGCCAACACCCACTAAAGTTGTCAAGAAAACTCAGAAACATTCTCCTAAATCTCCACCACGTCCATTCAGAGTAACGGCTGTCGCGCATCTCTGAATCCAGCGGCAGCGCTTCAGCAGGTAAGACGCTAAAAGTAAAAACTCCCATCCGCTTTCCTAACTAAACTTTAACTTCGTTTTCATGTTATTCGCGTCTCTTTCCGCTCTATAACGAATGTTTATAAAATCAGCTTACTCATTTAACAGGCGAATAGAAATCACGCCGTGGAAAATAGAACTTAATCGTGTTTTGAAACGTGTTTGTAAAATGAAGTTTTCTGCTAACGTTTTGCGACCGCACTGAATGCCCATATTCCGTCACGTGACTATATACCGCTGAACATGATCCTTTGAAATGTGGCTTTCATTAAAATACAGTGAGTCATATTGCTTTGCATGGCAAATTAATTAAACCACACACTTTACAAATACAAGGCAATGACCTAGATCTAGTATAGTCAGCAAAGAAGGATATAACCACAAGAGGGGAAAAAAAACCACACAAATTAAATCTCTGTATTATATCTCCATTGTTTCGCCTAGATCAGGAGTTTTTTCATTAAAATACAGTGAGTCATATTGCTTTGCATGGCAAATTAATTAAACCACACACTTTACAAATACAAGGCAATGACCTAGATCTAGTATAGTCAGCAAAGAAGGATATAACCACAAGAGGGAAAAAAAACCACACAAATTAAATCTCTGTATTATATCTCCATTGTTTCGCCTAGATCAGGAGTTTACAAAATTTTTGATGCTATAAGGACCCCCCAAATAGGATGATTTCCTTGTGAAGGACCCCTTTGTTAAAATATAAAATCAGCTGTAAATTTTCACGGATGACAATCTGTTTAGGCCTGTACTGTGTGTGGAAAATATTACATGTAATATAAAGATAACTAAATCAAATAATTGTTTCCAGAATTAAATAATTGGCTTATGCATTGTCATGATTTTATAAATGAATTGTTAAAATATTATCTAAAAAACGTTTACTTTTAAGTTGACCGCAAAAAAAAATAAAAAAATAGATATGCAAACGTTTCTGACGAACAAAAATTGTGAATATCTTGACTTTTGACCAGTCTTTAGAAAACAGAAAAACACATAACATTTAGGGATATGCGTCTTTCACGCAGCATACAGCGGTGTTGTGCATTTTGACCAGTTGATGGGAAAAGTATTCTTAAAATGCATTCAAAATTCGGAATAATTTGTAATATATAATTATTCACGGTATTTAGAAGTGCCCACGATAACACTATCGTGCACATTCATTACCGTGATATATCGCATTACCGAATACCGGCACAAGTCTAATAACATTTAGTAAATGTTGACACGAAAAAATGTTAAGCATATTTCACTAATATAACAAACATGAGAGATTTGAATATAGATTCAATTTTCATGTAATTCTTACCATTCTAGGCTATTACCTGCATTTTTATTCGCTTTATACCATATGTCAAAAGTCTTGTTTCTGTTTTCATTTCTTCAGAGGAATCTTAAGTCGATGACTTAAACTGAGAACCCTCCTGAGCAATAACATTTTCCTTTGGGTTCTAATTTGCGGGTTCCACTGGTAGGCAGATGCTGAGCTCTCTCAAATAAGCGCTAAATCTTTCATATGAAACACTGCAATACGTTTTGAATGTCAATGAATTCATCTGTGATGCTGAGGCTCAAAATCAAATGAGGTTAACGGTGTTAAAGTCGCACAGCATGTGTCAAATATAATGTCAGCAGGCTCTTTGAATGTACAGCACATTGTATGCAAAGAATAAATTATTAAAAGGTCTTAAATGATGCACTGTAGTCATGGGGCCGCTGTCAGTGTTAGACAACGATGAAGTGAAGAGAGACCGCTTTGAGAGCCAGATGTCTCTGTGTTTTAAATGAGGTCTTCTGGGGGTTAGAAAACGTTGTGAGTTTATTGTTTGAAAGGGGAAACTGATACGGAGCATTAGGCTGTTAATTACCAGTTGAGCCTCTTCTGCTTAATGAGCTGAATAGTAAAGTGGAAACCATTTTGCTAGTGGCATCCAAAGGCGTTATTTATTTAACAGTGTAATTAACCCCGTTATTAGATCTGAGTCCTAAATTTCACTTAAATAAATCCCTAAGAACCTGGGATGCGTTTCTTAAAAGCATTGCAAGCCTGAATACATCAAAGAAACCATTGGCAGCAATATAAATACAATTTACGATTAAAATGGTTTTAGAAAATGCATCCCTGGTCTGTTTCATTATTATAAACGTGTCAAAATAAAACTTTTTTTGCTTGTTTGTGGATTTCAAAGACATAAAATAAAAATTGATTATAACACACCACTTTTGCATTTCATCAGTTTAAAAATGTATTTATGTTTTACATGTGCAATGGTTCCTTATATCTACTGCATCCATATTTTTCATAAATTAGTTTTTTTGTTTTATTTCTTGCCTTTAGTGTTCTCATCTCTTCATCTGAAGACTAAAACCTTTCCTCCATCACAATGGCAGCGGTAAGAAAAGTATTTTGAATGTGAAGAGACACAATGTTACTGTCATCTTTTTCATGTCTGAAACATTGATGCGTTTAGTCTCACTTCTAGATGATTCAAAGGCAATTCGTTTTTTTTATGGATTGTATCAATATCACACATTTGTAATCAAATAAAAGCTTTTTCTTGTTCCTTCTCATTTTCCTTTGCCAGTCAAAAGTCTGGATCTTGTAAACATTTTGATATAAAGGCTTCTGCATATAAGTGCTTGAAATTAATTTTGTTGAAAAAAAAAGAATGTATGTGAATTTTGGAAGGGTGGCAACTTTTAAATAAGTTCATTTATGTGACCCTGGAGCACAAAACCAGTCTTAAGTCGCTGGGGTATATTTGTAGCAATAGCCAAAAATATATTGTATGTGTCAAAATTATTGATTTTTCTTTTATGCCAAAAATCATGAGGATATTAAGTAAAGATCATGTTCCATGAAAATATGTTGTAAATTTCTGTAATACTGTAAATATATTAAATCTTAATTTTTGATTAGTAATATGCATTGCTAAGAACTTCATTTGGACAACTTTAAAGGCGATTTTCTCAATAATTTAGATTTTCTTTTTGCACCCTCAGATTCCAGATTTTCAAATAGTTGTATCTCGGCCAAATATTGTCCAATCCTAACAAACCACACATCAATGGAAAGCAATATTGAGCTCAAAATCAATATTTATTCAGCTTTCATATGATGTATAAATCTCAATTTGGAAAAATTGACCCTTATGACTGGTTTTGTGGTTCAGGGTCATATATAAGATTGTTATAATGGAAAATGGTTGTGTGAGAAATATTCACAATAGAGAATGATTACACCACCATCAGTAAGATTCAAAAAATAAATGAGTACTTTTATTCAGCAAGGATACATTAAATTAAATCCGAAGTGACAATAAATATATTTCTAATGTTATACAACATTTCTATTTCAAATAAATGCTGTCAAACGTTCCATTCATCAAACATTTTTACAAAAATATTAAGTAGCACAACTGTTACCTACATGAATATTAATAAGAAATGTTTCTTGAGCAGCAAATCAGCATATTAGAATGATTTCTGAAGGATCATGTGACACTGAAGACTGGAGTAATGATGCTGAAAATTCAGCGTTGCCATCACAGGAATAAATTACATTTTAAAATATATTAATGTAGACAAGTTATTTTAAATTATAATAATATTTCACAATATTACTGTTTTACTGAAATAAATACATGTAGCCATGGTGAGCATTTAAGAAATGTTTTACCTTTGACACAATCTGAGCTTAAAAATATGCAAGTTGTCATGCAGCCCTGTGACAGCAACTCAACAGTTTATATTTCGGCTTTGCACTTGTTAAATCTGTCTAAAGGTGGTGTTATCTCTTCTTTTGCTGTAGTTGGGCAACCGTGGAACCGTGACTGAGGCATCAGGCTTCAAACCAGAGGAAGATGCCCAGAAACTTTACAGTGCTATGAAAGGAACTGGTAAGTGATCTACAAATCAGAACCGGCCTTCAAGATGAACATATTTACATGATCCATTTTTTTGCCCATTTGAATGGAATGAGAATCATCACCTGGTTGCATTTTGAAAGTGTTTTATCAGGTAGATCAGAGAACTAAGTCTCTCTTCATTTCCAGTTAAAACTACAAGACACCTGTGGTTTAGCTGGGCTTTCGTCCAATGCAGAGTAGAGGTTGATTCTTTGGCATTCGTCCTGTAACCGAAAAGGTGTTTCCTCATTGTTGTAGACTAGAGCTTGGCATGATGTTAAGAATGCAGATTTCTAGTTAAATGGAGTTCAGCTGATTTCAGCAGCGCGAGTTGCATTACGAAACATGACTCGCACTCACACGGTTGCTGTTTGACACAGGCTCGCTTGTTGGCCTTAAGTGAGTTATGAGTAACATGCAGTTTAATACTTTAAATAACAGTGAGCTTGTGATTCTGAAAGTGTCAAAAATGTCCATGCAGTGTAAGAAAATGAAGCAATCTCTTGCCGTTTTACGATCAAGCATGTGATGTACAGCCTTGGGCTTTATGGGTAATTTGATGCTTTAAATAACAAGCAGTTTGTAATTACAAAAGTGTCAAAAATGTATATGCAGATATGAAATTGAAAACCGTCATCATTTACTCAACCTCAAGTCATTCCAAACCTGCAACACTTTCTTTTTCTTCCATGGAACAAGGGAGAAATTCTGCAAAATATACAATTCACAAAAAAATTTATTTTAATATATAATATATATATATATATATATTAGAAACACCATACTGTTTGAAATTTAGCAGTCAGTAAGATTTTAATTTTTTTAAAGAAATTAATACTTTTATTCAGCAAGGACACAAAGTTGATATAAAAATGACAGTATAAATATCTTTAATGTTACAAAATATTTATATTTCAAATAAATGCTGTTCTTTTGTTTCCACAAAAATATTAAGCAGCACAAGTGTTTTCAACATTGATAATAATAAGAAATGTTTCTAAAATTACATTTTAAAATGAATTAAAATACAGAAGTTGTACAGTAAATTATTTTTTCTTCACAATTTTAGCTTCTCCTGTACTTTTTATCAAATAAATACAGCTTTGGTTAGCATAAGAGACTTTCAAAAACATTATTTATTATAGATGTAATATTTATTATACCATACCATATGTATACATTTAGTAGCACATTAAAAAACACAATATCCATTATCGATGTGTTTTGGAGATAACCAAAGGTTAAGAGAATGCCGTTATCGGCTGATGCTGGTAATCTCAAAATGGTTAAATAAAAAATTTAATGACATAAGGTTGACTAAAGGTTGTCAACAATTTTCAATTTTCCATGAACATGCTTTAACCAAAACTGAATGAATTCCAGGTACCAATGAGGTGACTATCATCGAGATCCTCGCCCATCGCACTATTGCACAAAGGCTGAAAATCAAGGAGGCTTTCAAACAAAGCGTGGGAAAGGTAAAACCCAACAGTTGCCATTCTCTGCTGCAAGATCTATAAAACTCAGACCTGTAGCCCATCATTAACAGATCTCATTTTGGACCAAAACAACACGTCTTCCTGGTCCAAATTAGGGAAGCTTATAGTCGTGTTCTTCTCTTTGTGGAAAGTCCTAATGGCAGGGACGGTGTGAGCAACTGTCAGGTTGTATTTACCTCAAACATACGGTTCACAAGGTGATTAGAGAACAATGTTGACCATTCTTGATGATTGTGTAGTCGGTATGAAGGTAGACAATGCAGAGTATGTATCACTGATAAGAGATGCTGTTGACTCCAATCATTAACTCACAAAGAGTCCATCTACAAACGGTGTCTTTCGGGAGACATCGCTGCTTTATAACTGTCTGTTATCATAACAGAGTATAAAGAATGCAGCATTGACTTTTATTGTACTTCCTTGTGGTTTCCCTCTGTAACTCTGTAAGCTGGTCAGGGAAACTAGAATCAGAAAAAAAAAATCACAGTCAGGTCTTGCTGCTTATGTTAATGGAAACATTGAGTGAAGCAAAGCAAGTAAGTGTGAGTCATTGTGGGGGAAGTTCTGGACAGCGTTCAGGACGGTCTCGTGGACACAACACCCACCCAGACTTACAGCAGATATTACAGTTTTGGTCTGCAACAAAACACTATTTTCCAACACCAAATCCATTTGTTTCTTCTGTGATGCGAGATGTGGAAGTAAAGCATGAATGAATACATCTAAGAAGAAATATTCTACTTTTAAGCTTGATATGCCTGGGTTTGTATGCTGTGCTGTTCTAAGAACAAACTAACACTGTTTTCACATGTGGTAAATAACACTATATTTTAAAATTCCCATTCAGGAACTGGTTGATTGCTTGAAGTCAGAGCTTACTGGAAACTTTGAGAAGGTTGCGGTCGGCCTGATGATGCCCGCCCCAGTGTATGACGCGTATGAGCTGAGAAACGCCATCAAGGTTAGTGAGGATTGGGAAATGTGTGAAGTAGCACCCATTTCAAACTGTATGTTTCACATGAGAGCATTTTACTTGAATGTGCATGGCTTCTGGTGTCAACCACTTCGAGTTGTTTTAGTTGTACAAAAACAGCCCGTTATGCTGCTTGATGTTGCAAACTGGTATTTGTTATCATATTATTTTAATTTATTATCATATAATAACACATCGGTTTGTAGCGCAAATAGTTTTACCATTTACTTCTTCTAGTTATATAGCTTAATTCCACATCTTAAAATAACAAACTGGAATTATCATTGTTAAACACACCCATAATAAATCAAAGCACCATACACTAAAAGAGAAAAGACACACACACATATACATACATATATATATATATATATATATATATATATATATATATATAAGTATAATATAATGCTGCTCTGATTTGCCTTGACACAGCCAGATCAGAAAAAAAAAAAAAAACATACTCAGAATTTGTCCTCTGCATTTAACCCACTCAAGTTCACACACACAGCAGAGAGTAGTGAACACACACACACACACCTGCAGCATTTGTCCTGCGGCGCCCAGGGAGATGGATACCTTGCTCAAAGGCACCTAATTCATATGTATTGAAGGTGGAAGAAATTTCCTGCCGGTACTGCGAATCCAACCCACAACCTTCGGGTTACAACAAGTCCAACTCTCTAACCATCAGGCCACAGCTGCCCCCATACATGCCACAACCCATAAAGTGGGTATAGAGAAGAATCACCCCCCTTTAAAATAACCTTCTTCCCACTGATAACTTTCTAGTCAGAGGGCATTATATATGTAGTTTTAGTCCCTAATCACAATATCTTAAACCTTTTTCCAGGGTGCAGGGACAGAGGAGGCATGTCTCATTGACATCCTGGCCTCAAGAAGCAATGCTGAGATGAAGGAAATCGTTGCTACTTACAAGAAAGGTACAGATGTGCTACAGCTCACACTTATCATGGATAAGCCTTTTGCATTGTGAAAAATATACAGGTCTCCCCATATTATACTATTTCATTCACTTTTCTTGTGCTGATAATGTCATTATCACAGAAAATGACAAGAGTCTTGAGGACGACATCTGCGGAGACACGTCTGGAATGTTTCAGAGAGTTTTGGTGTCTTTACTCACGGTAAATAAACAAATCACCTGTATTATCTTATTTGTGAAGAAGATTATTTGATGCCTTTACTCATCACCTCTTTTGTTTGCCATGCAAACCTTCACCATCCACAGTGTCCGGCCGGGGCAGGTGTGACCCCTGATAGTTTGGCATATGGGATGTATTGATATTGTTTTTCTGCTTTGTTTATAGGCTGGGCGTGACGAGAGCACCAAGGTGGACGAGGCTCAGGCTGTTCAGGATGCAAAGGTGAGGATTTTGGTGTGGTTAGCAGTAGCTTTTTGCGTAATAAGCACATGTAAAATTTTTGTGGTGTATGTCGTTTTAACGAGAAAACATCTCGTTATTACGAGAAAAGATGTCGTTAGAACGACATAACATCTCGTTATTACGACATAATTGAGTGGAAAAAATAATATGTGTGCGGCAGCAATGCGTCACCGTACTGAATACCTTAAACTGTGTATTACTTAGACATCACTTGCTTAGCATATCCAGTGTGATTTTGTAATAGTAGAGCTTCAGTGTACTGCAACCCCCAATTTCAATTTCAGTTATTTTTATAAAATACTTACGATAAAACCTATAGTATTCATCATTGTACAACTAGCTAGTAACTAAAGTGAAGTCTTAAGAGCATTAAGTACAATATAATACAGAACATTGTAGCTGATTCACTTATAAAATATAAGCTTATATTATATAAAACTGATTCATTCAAGTAATTTGTTTGGGAATCGGATGACTCAAACCACACTGGTGGATCACACTGGAAGTGTTTCATTCACTTAAATATCCCTTTCTCGCGATTCGGACTACACTGGTTGTGCTGCAGGTTTCTGATTCATCGAATAGAATCAGCTCATGAGAGTCATTCATTGAGTATTCATACAGTGGTCGCGCTGTATGTCTTTGAGTCCTTTGGGAATCAGACTACTCTCTTTGTGCTGTATTTTTTGATTCATTGAAAATAACCAGCACATAAGAGTTGTTTGCTATGGGATCCGACTGGCCGCTCTGGATGTTTTTGATTCATTAAAAAGAACCGGCTCGTAAGAGTCATTCTCTATGGAATCCAACTACACTGGCCGCAAAAAAATAAAAAGTGCTTGTGGTGCCTGTTTTTACAATAAATATTGTTTATATGTTATCTAATGTAGTGATTTATTTTTATGTGTGGCTAAGGTGTGTAAATAAAAATTGGGCCTCTGTATATTCTCTGTATTTACAATTCTTTATTGGACGTGTTTCTGTGTATATTCAGTGTCAGCAAACTGCTTTATAAAATGTGGGGTTCAGCCTTAGGTACACAACAATCATGCTTGTGTTCATTAATCATTAACAGTATAAATGGAAATTGCTCCGATAAAGTTCTCCATTGTTTCTCATCCAACAGGACATCTACGAGGCAGGCGAAGCTCGCTGGGGAACAGATGAGGTCAAGTTCCTCACTGTGCTGTGTGTGAGGAACAGAAATCACTTACTCCGAGGTATCTGTGCATGCCAGATAATAACCGAAATACTCCTTCCCAGTTTTGTGATCGTTCTAATGTAACAGTAGAAAGCAGCACAGTGGGACAATGACCTTATATGACAATGAAGTAAGCTCATGACTTCCACCTTGTGGTGACTGGATTTAAATAAAGTTGTTTGGAATAGATGTAGGCCTACTTCTCATACTGTTCATGTAAATTATGTGCAGTACCGTGTTATTTTACTATTATTTATATATACTACTATAGTTTTTATTAATATTTTGAATGAGCATTTTACATTTTCAGTTTAGTTTCAATTTAATTTTAGTAGTTTTGTTATATGCTTTCATCATTTTTATTCGTTTTATATATAGGATTAATTAACATGTACATGGTTAGTTATATTTTTCTGCTCCTTCACTCATTTTATTTAAAAATGCAAAATGACCATTCATTCAGCTATTTATTTTAACTAGATGGTGCTAACTGAATTAAACATGCAACGTTGTGAGATCATGTGACAACTATAGTTGGCTGTTTCAAGTAGTATTAGCCTACATCAAGCACATTCTCAACCATTTTTCTTTTCCTAGTGTTTCAGGAGTATCAGAAGATTTCTGGAAGGGACATTGAAGACAGCATAAAGAGGGAGATGTCTGGCTGCCTGGAGGATGTATTTCTGGCAATAGGTCTGTCGTGAGTATTGCAATATTTGAATTATCTTCACACATTTTCAATTGCATACTGTGATCTAAAAAGCTTCTCTTAACCCTTGCAGTGAAATGCTTGAAAAACAAGCCAGCATTTTTTGCTGAAAGGCTTTACAAGTCAATGAAGGTAAATGGAAATGCCAGCTGATCTAATATTTGCACACATTAGGGATTTTACCAGTACAAAAGTCATAATTTCTCTCGTTTCTCGGCTCTTAGGGTTTAGGCACCACAGATAGCGTGCTGATCAGGATCATGGTGGCTCGCGCCGAGATCGATATGCTCGACATCAAAGCAGAGTTCCTGAAGATTTATGGAAAGACCCTTCACTCCTTTATAAAGGTGGGACACAGCTGTTTCACTGAGAATATTTGACTAAACACAATATTCAAAAACCATTAAAAACATTACAAATACTCTAACACAATACCTCAGGGATGAAGCAAAGCCAAACTTTTAAGGGAATAGTTCACCCAAAAATGGAAATTTGCTGAAAATTTACTCATTTACTTATTCAGTATATAAATGAGTTTGTTTGTTTCATCAAAACAAATTTGGATAAATGCATTCCATCACTTGCTCACCAATGGATCCTCTGCAGTGAATGGGTGCCGTCAGAATGAGAGTCCAAACAGCTGATAAAAACATCACAGTAATCCACAAGTAACCCACACCACTCCAGTCCATCAGTTAATGCCTTGAGAAGTGAAAAATTGTGTTTGTAAGAACCAAATCCATCATTAGGATGTTTTACTTTTAAACCATTGTTTCTAGCCAATATACGAGTCCATAATTATTACTTTTTCACTGGAGAAAGCAATTTTATCTATAGAGAATTCGTATTTTAGCTGGAAGCAATGGTTTAAAGTTAAGAACATCTTGATGGATTCATTTCGTACAAACACAGCTTTTTGTTTCACAAGATTTTAATTGATGTACTTAAGTCGTGTGGATTACTTGTAGATTATTGTGATGTTTTTATCAGCTGTTTGGACTCTCATTCTGACGGCACCCATTCACTGCAAAGGACCCATTGGTGATGTAATGATACATTTCTCCAAATCTGTTCTGATGAAGAAACCAACTCATTTACATCTTGGATGGCCTGGGGGTAAATACATTTTTAAATTTTTTGGGTGAATAATTCCTTTAATTTCAACTAATTTTGCAGACAAACACAAAAATCCCCACTAAAAGCACTACTAAAGGCAATACTAACATTTAACCCATCATGAAACTCTGTTCTGTTTGTTTATTAGGGTGACACGTCGGGCGATTACCGTAAGATCCTGTTGGAGCTGTGCGGAGGGGAAAAGTAACATGTTCGCCGTGTTCATTAACGTGAAACGCTGTCTCTCACACCAAGTCTACAGCATTTCAAACACATTCCCTGTTTGTAATACCAATTAAAACTGAACAGTGATGTTTTAAATGAGATTCATGTTTTTTTTGCTTATTGCCTTGGAATTTATGGGAGTTCTTTATAGATTGGCACATCTTGGTGTTTGTCAAAAAAATAAAAGGAGAAAAGAACAGCCCGTATTGACTGTATTGATCTGTTTTAATTTCTTAATCTCAGCACACTCGTTGAGGTCCATTTTTGTAATTACTCTGAGTATAATTTGTTTAATGTACAACATCTATGTGTACTCGGTCCAATTTTACTAATTGCTCACGGTTGTTTGCATAAGTATATGAGATCAGCATAGTTTCTCTGTTTTTCTAGATTACAGGTTTCACAGACTACCTGCCTCAATTTAATCAAGTGCAACATATTAATCATATGAGTGAATGTGGCATCTGTCAGAATTATGGGGAAAATGACTGACAAAAAAAAGTGTATTTAAACTTTTAACACTAAGTGGCGCTATGCATGTTTTCATGTGCATTCCTCTGAGTTACAAAGAATGTTACTTTTGTGGCTTGAGTTATCATACATTGTATGTCTATGAAACAGATCAATTAAAAAGTTCCACGAATAGGATACAAAACAAATTAATTATATATGTGTGTGTGTGTGCGTGCATGTTTATGTGGTTTATGAGGACACAAATTTGTATAATAACATGGGTATGACATAGGTATTACAACGAGAAGGTGATTTATGAGGACAATTTCAGTGTCCCCGTAATTCAAAAGGCTTATAAATAATTCAGAATGAGTTTTTTTGAAAATCTAAAAATGCAGAAAGTTTCCTGTGAGGGGTAGGTTAGGGGTAGGGTTGGTGTAGGGCAATAGAAAATACGGTTTGTACAGTATAAAAACCATTCCGCCTATGGAGAGTCCCCATAAACCATAAAAACAAACCTGTGTGTGTGTGTATTTACTTATTCATTTATTTTTTTCAAAAAAAAACAGTAAGTAAAAGAAGGTGCTTAACCTTCAGTAAATGTTGACTGTCTACAAACTAAATGTATTTATTTTGGGACATATTTGAATACAGTTTTAAACACTGATTTGCCATTTTTCTGGCAATAAACACTAAATACTAAAGCATACAAATTAAATTTGAATGACTTGAAAACAGTTTTATTTATTTGGGGACAAATAATTTTTCTTGCTTAGGTAGTTTACAATAAAACAAATACAAATAAAAACAGACAAATATTATGTAGATATAAAAAAAACTACTAAAATGACAAAAACACAACAAAATTACTAAATGAAATAAATTAAATTACTAAATAAAAATGAAAAAAAAAAATCATAGAAATGTATGCTTGCTTGTATGATATGTTCCAATACAGCAAGAACGTCGAGACCACTTTTTTCATACCATTTTGTATCATATTCAAGAAAAAAAGCCTGATAGAGACAGATAATGCCAGCAAGCAAATCTCTCTCTCTTTGTCTGTGTGTGCGCGCGCGCGCGCATGTTTTTCTACACAAGTCACACGGACTCATGGGGACTAGTGTCACCGTGGGGACCTAAATTGGTCCCCATGTGGAAACAAGCTTATAATCCTACAGAATGAGGTTTTTTGAGAATGTAAAAATGCAGAAAGGTTTCTGTGAGGGGTAGGTTTAGGTGTAGGGCGTTTGTACAGTAGGCCTATAAAAACCATTACGCCTATGGAGAGTCCCCACAAGGATAGTGAAACAAACGTCTGTGTGTGTGTGTGTGTCTTGAAAAAAATGTGTCTCTGAACTGAATTGAGTCAATAATCTTGGAAATGCAGCGTGTTTGGTCGAACGGTGTTCTCAAAACTAAGAGTCAGCTTTGTGTTCTACAGCAGATTGTCTGGACCTGCACTGACGTTCAATCCAAGTTTGAAGGTTTTTGTATTATCACAGATGGACCAACATGGGCAGCAACGTCTTAGACAAATGAAAGCCTTTGTTTATCGCCTGTGCAATGGAACACAATATCTCTGTCGACCCACTAAATTGTCTGACAGCAATGGTTTAAATTCCAGAAACAAAAAATCCAGACAGGAACGGTTTGTAAATCTCAAAATTCAGCAAGCGGCCCGAAGCACTCTGGGATCACGGGAATGAGTGTTACACAGCAACTATGACAGAATGCGCTCTCTCTTTCCCGAGCTAATGGTGGCCCACAGCATAAATAAATCTCTACTACTTAAGGCGAAGCGATTTTCACCAAGATTTTGTCGTTTTTCCCTCGTGCGTGTCAATTTGCAAGAAAGTTTCTGAATTTTTAAAAAGTTGCTGCTTTTTTACCGTTATCATCGGGGAACCAGAGAAACGAACACGCTCTCCGTGTATGCGTGTAAAATTGCGAGCGATGTACTTCCCCTGAGGCTACCGTCAAGCTAGAGTGCTGTACAGCCATCATATAAATTAAAAACACACTAAAATCAAAGAAAACACAGCAAATGATGCTCCCAGAGACCTTTAACACTTTCCCTAGTCAGTTTTTCGTACGATTTACTCACCTTGAACAATTAAGACAATTTCAGTAGCTTTATTAACATGGACATCCTGACAAACCATCTTTCATTCTAATATTTTTCCTATTAAACATTTTCAGCAGCAAGCCGAACATCATGAAATGTTGTGAAACTTTGTCAAGCTTTGCTTGAACTGCCAGAGGGAAGCAAATGAATGATGGCTAATCTGTCTGACAAACAGAACTGCACTGTAGCATGACCGTCTATACGCTGTGAATTCAGTGCAAACAAAGCCAGAACTAAGATGCAACAACAAAGGAAACGAGCAACGTTCTGGAATTAAGTGTAAATAGGGTCAGGGCAATGTGTTGGCTGATCCAAGAGCCATGAAACATTTCAGAAATACGAAACAACTTCCACAAAGGACATCATTTTACATAATCACTAACCTAATTATTTAGTGAACAATTATTCAACATTAGTATGTTAATTGTACATTTTGAAAGCCATGTGCGCATTCTGCAGAAGTTCTTCTGTAAAGGCCAGAAGCTCTACCACAGGAAGCTGACAATACGGTGCCCACCACAAACCACACGTCCTGCATCCTTCTGAACATTTTGTTCACATCGATATTTAGAGGCGTGGGAAGGTGTACAGAGAACAGTTGCACAATAATGGAAGATAAGAATTTAGAAATATGGTTAACTTGCTGACGAGCATAAATTATTGAAGATGATTTGAGAGGAAGTACCTTTCTGGGTAAGCTGTCTGAAATTGCTTTATTACTGCATAAAGGCATCAAATTTTCCATGTCGGTTTGTTTCATTTCAACACGGAAGTATGTAGCAACTAAACGACTTTAGCAAAAAATAATGCATTATGGGTCAGGTGGAAGTTTGAGGTCATCTCAAATGACAAGAGGTCGAGGTGAGCTGGCTGAAATTGTTTTATTACTTCATAAAGGTATCAAACATTCCACACTGGTTGGTTTAATTTTAGTAAAATATTATTTTAAAATACTCAGTACACAGCAGCTTTGTTTTTGTGAAGTTATATTGCATAAAATAGCTGTAAATATCCAGAAAATACAATAAAACAATGGCACAAATAATGCAGTGAGTCAAAGGGTGGTATGTGATCATCTCAAATGACAAGAATTGTGGGTAAGTGGCATCACAATTTTCATGGTGGTCCGTTTCATTTCGTTATGTAAATATGCGTGCTGAAATAAGTTTAGCACCTGCAGCTTTGTTTTTGAGAAGTCATGTTGCATAAAATGCAGATTAGTGTTTAAAAAATTAAATGACAACAGCATTAATGAAAACAGCTTCATATCAATCAAATACTACAATAAAATCATTAAAAAGTAAAAAATAAAAATAAAAATAGCACAAATAATGCATTGTGGGTCAGGAGGACGTATGTGATAATCTGATAAGAAGTCTGACAAGTAGTCTGGGTAAGCTAGCTGAAATGGTTTCATTACATCATAAAGCATACATTTTCAATGTCAGTCTGTTTCATTTCAGCACATAGCCTAATTCCCTATTTTGAAATAGCAGCAGCTTTGTTTTTGTGACATTATACTAACGTTAATGCATATTAGTGATAATGCAATGACATCAGCAATAATGGAAATAGCTGAAATTATCAAGAAAACAATATAATAAAAATGATGAAAATATGGCACAAACAATGCATTATGGGTCAGGAGGAGGTATTTGATCATCTCAAATGATTATAAGATGGCTTAAATAGCTTTTTACATCACAAAGGCATCACACTTTCTGCATCGGTCTGTATTATTTCAGCACATAAAGAAATATTGAGTATCCAGCAACAGCTTTATATTTGTGAATTTATATATGCAGATTAGTCCATTAACAATTAGCAACATCAGCAATAACAGTTGTAAATATCAATAAAATAGCACAATAAAACCATGCCACAAATAAAGTATTATGGGTCAGAAGGAGCTATGCAATCTTAGAAGTTATGTGACATAAAAAAAGTCTCTCATAGCTATACGTGAAAAAACAGTTCTCCTACCCACCGCATGCTCCTCCTCCTAGTGCATGAAAACAAAAAGTCTTGCCCAGCTAGTTAACTTACAGACTGCAAGTTTACATGCAATTATCTCTCATGTCTGAAAAGCCTATGAATTTTCGAAATGAGTGAGTCGCTGATATCTCCTCCTTGCTGGTGGAAAAGTTCTGTTATTGTTGTTCAACGTGACTTCACCTGGAACCGGTTTCTTGCAGGACATTAACCCAGCATGCAGAGTTATTTAGCTATACTTTGAGATTGACCAATCCTGTGTCCATTTCTCTTTTTCGCTGAAAGATTTCTCTCAGGATGAGTGCCAACAACTCCAGCCTGGCTGATGATGCAGAGCCCCTGTTCATTCTTCCTCTGGCGCTGGTCATCTTCCTCACAGTGATTGGGAACCTGTTGGTCATCTTGGCTATCTTTCGCACCCCTCTGCTCCACACCACCACCAACGTCTTCATCATCTCCCTGGCCTTTGCGGATCTCATCATGGGTTGTGTGGTCCAGCCTTTGGGCGCCAGCATGGTGGTGAGCGGGAAATGGCTTTTAGGTGACAAGTTCTGTGACATGTGGACGTCCGTGGACGTGCTTTGCGTCACAGCCAGCATAGAGACGTTGTGTGTCATCGCCGTTGAGCGCTATTTTGCGGTCACGAGACCTTTTGAACATCAGGTCCTCCTTGGGAAGCGCAGAGCAAGCTATATCGTCTGCATGGTGTGGATAGTGGCGTCCCTAGTTTCCTTCGTGCCAATCATGAACCATTTTTCTCGTGCAGATTATGAGGAGGCAGAAATATGTTACAATAAACCAGAATGCTGTGATTTCCATACTAACAAGACCTACACCATCTTCTCCTCAGTGGTGTCCTTCTACGTGCCCCTCGTTATTATGGTGTTTGTGTACGGGAAGGTGTTTGTCATCGCGACCAGACAGCTGAAACTCATTGACAAGAATAGACTCCGTTTTCTGAGCACATGCACAGAAGACACTTGTGAAAATCCAGGTGAAACGGTGCGTAATTTGAGCCGGAGGTCAACGAGGCATGTCGTGAAAGAACACAAGGCGCTCAAGACGCTGGGGATTATTATGGGCATCTTCATTCTCTGTTGGCTGCCCTTCTTTTTCTTCAATATCATCAAGGTTTTTAATCCCGAAGTGCTGTCGAGGGATGTGTTCGTCCTGTTGAACTGGCTCGGTTACACCAATTCAGGCCTGAACCCAATCATCTACTGCCACAGTCCCGAGTACCGCACCGCATTCCTCAATCTTCTAGGGTACAAAAAACTCAAGCGGTTAAATTACGACACAGTGCACAAACATCTATGGACCCTCAGCTCGTGCATCCAAAGCAACGGTTCTGTAAAAATGGATTGCTTAGGTCACGAAGATCCATCTGCTAAGGGTGGGAACGTTTGCTCAGACACGTGTAAGGTTTTCAAAGAAGAAGAGGTGGAAACTCAGCCTCACAATGACTCAAATGTGGCATCGATCAATGTAGCAGAGATGTTAAAGGTAAGAGAGTATTTAATGTGAATGATGTCTCAAACTGTGCAAGCTGGTGAGGTGTGGTGTGCTATTATTTATCTAAGTGATTGGATTTTCACCTTAAGGATGATCAAATGGTTATAAAAATCCAATTAACATTGAAACCACCAAGAAGTCCTAGCAACATGCTAAAAACTACTCGGAACACCTTAGAATCCACATAGCTATGCCTTGGCAACCACTCACAACACCTAGCATAATGGCATTGAACTATGAAACAGCACTAATTTTCTTCAGAAAATCCTTCACATTTACTTATTTTGCAACTTATTTTGCACTTATTTAGTTGGCATTTACATTTTCACTGTACTAAAGCCAAAAGCAATAATTGATCAAATTATCTGGAAAGTAGGATTTTCACACTAACCTCACACTAATCATTGGTTCAAGGCTCAAATTTTCCTTTGGGGTCTTCGATCCACAGTTTAAAAACTTCTGATTTAATTTTTCCAGATAATAATTTTTTGACAGTGTTATTTTTTACTGGTGCTTTATAGCAGAGTTGATCTTTAAATCATTATTTTCCTGTTTATCCCTGTAACGCTGCTTTAACAATCTGTATTTTATAGTGTGCAATATAAATAAAGGTGACTTAACAGATGCTTTAATCCAAAGTGAGGAACACTGCAAGCAATTTATCATACGAGCCAACAATATATGCAGTACATAATACCACATTTCAAGCTAGAGCAAAAATGAAAAGCAGAAAAAAATAGAGAAATTGTTTACTAGAGAGGACGACTTATATGAAGTACATTCATTAGTGGTTGTGGTTAAGTGCTTGCATTTCCTTTAGATCACCTAAACAAATCAGTATATGATCTGTAATTTTTAAAAGTAATTAGATAATACTAAAGTCAAAAAACTCTAACAATCAGGATTATCTTTGAGAAAGCCACATATGAGAAACTCCCATGTCTACCATTTCCATGTGGGTGGTGAATGTGGCTAGTCAGTTTATCACAATCACATTCAGTTTGAAGCATTTCAGTGTCTCACTGAACTTCCTGTTCGCTGAATGGCATTGACCCAACAAAGGAAATAATACCTGTGACTCAAACAAATAAGTTAAAGGTGGGGTAAGCGATTTTTCAAAAACGCTTTAGAAAACTGATCCGGGCCGACTAGCAAAACAAACTTGTAGCCAATCAGCAGTAAGGGGCGTGTCTACTCATGATGTGGAGGAGAGAGCGTTCAGTGCACAGGACGGACATTAGCCGAGCGACAGAAAGATAGAGGGAAAAAAAACAAAAGAGGAAAACGTCTTTTCATAGTATTTTGTCGCGCCGCACCACTCGCGTCCGGTGTAGACCTGGTGTAACATTGGTTTTCCTTTGTTTCACAGAACTAATCGTTGCCTGGGTTTGCGTACATATGTGTGGGGCGGAGCTATCAAAATAGGGGCGAGACCCTTTTGGAGTAGGGGTGTGTTTGTTTTGGTGATTTCAAATGTCAACACTGGCTACCAGAAATCGCTTACCCCACCTTTAAGTGTAATTAAGTCAATTTAAAAATAAATAAATAAAATGAAAAATGTAAATAAAATTTTTTAATTTAATTAAAATTCTACATTTTAACATTGTTTCCATGTACCATTCATTATCCTGGATCTAGAGCACAGGGGATGATGATTACACAAACTAGGACATAAATTGACCTGCTCCTCTCCAACAGAGAGAACGAGAGGAACGACCTTGCCACTTAACCACATGCAGTACTGGATTACGCCTTCATTTTGTCAAGATGCTCCTCTTATACTTTAAGGTGATATCAGACCCTCAAAACTGATTAGCATTGCACAACCAATGAATTCAACATGTTTCTTAAGTGACTGAAATGAGTCGGCAGAGATGTTCTGAAGTGTGTTTTGTGAGCATGCGTGTAGTGTAGTGTATTAATATTTAAGGGTGGGAAACCCAGGGGTCTTATTAGTTCATTGCCTCATTAGTGCAGGGATAATTATAGGAGGCGAAAGGGGCACCATGACAGTGTTTTATGATGTTAGAGAGGCCTAGAGTTCAGGTTTATGGTGATGAGCTAATACTGGATACGCGTTGTATTTGATTATACACTTAACCATTTTCATCATGTGCTCATCTAAGTGTTCTAAACAATCTAAACAAAATGTCTATATTTTCTGCAGAAAAAAAAGGGGGTAGTGATTACTGCGACTTAAATATCCAACAGTAAAAATGTTAAACAATAATTTAAAATCTGGTGGGAAAGCTTTTTTGTTTCCTCAGATGACGTCTCTTTAGAGCATGCACAAGCGTTTCCTACATGCAACAGAGAGTGTGAACTGTGATTCAGTCAAGATCCACAAAACAGCCTCGCTCATGAGTCAGTAGTTTGTGAATCGTTCAGGGCTGCATTTTGCAAAAGTATCGTGATCCTAGTTGATCGTATAGAGATGACTGGAGTTACCAAATCGAATCAAATCCCTAATCGAATATTAACCAAATCTGAATCCGAAGGAATCGTGAAAAAAATATTAAGACAATAATATTTTTATATTGTTGTATTAGTTCAATAATATATTCCACAAACATATGAAGCAGCACAACTGGTTTCAACATTGATAATAAGAAATGTTTCTTAAGCAGCAAATCAGCATATTAGAATGATTTCCGAAGGATCATGTGACACTGAAGACTGGAGTAATGATGCTGAAAATTCAGCTTTTCCATCACATGAATAAATTACACTTGAAATGTAATAATACATTTAAAATACTGCTGTTTTTGTTCAAATAAATGAAGCCCTGGTGAGCATATGTATAAGTATATAAAAATCTATGGATTTGTTAAAATTTTTTCATCCACCAAGCAAAAAGTCCAATCACGTAGAAAAGAAATATCACACCTCCAACATGCTGCATAATTTTAGACATCATTCATATCTATCAATCATGTCTTTTTAAATCCCTAACCCTGGGAATGGCTTAGCAAGCACTACCAATTAAAATAAGTGAAAAACTAAGTGAGCAGTACAGTACACACACACAAGCCGAATCTGTCATAATACTTCTGGTCTGGATCAGAATTATGGTTCAGTCTGTGGTTGTTTTAATCAAGAACATACATCTTATGCCACAGGGGATTAGACACTCTAGTGTACGTGAATCACATGTACTAATGATGATTGAAAAGAACACTTTGAGACACGGCAGACGCAAACACATCTGAGAAACATTTCAGCATAATCCCTCTGATGTCACTCAAGACGTGCGATGAGAGAAAAATACATAGTGTGCAAAAACAACGCACTGATACATGTACCAGAGCACCCAGAAACACAAACACTAGCTGTCTGTTCTTTTCCAGTTCAAATGTGTAATGATTTCATAATTATTTTCCTCCCACAGGGCCACTGAAGATGGGAAACAGATCCTATGCGTTTCAAGAGAATTAACTGTCCCTGAACGTCATGCTTTTCAACTGGACCTTGACTGTATTACATTTAAACCATGTGCACAGGCAAAACAGCCAGATCCTTAGGTAAAGAAAAGCGGAAAAATGATACCGAGAACAAACCATGACATAAAAATTATCACGCAGTGACAGCTTTTTGAACTTTAAACAGAATGAAATTGGAAACTGAAGTCCTAAACTGTCATCTCTTTACCTCACAAACCATCAAAACCAAATCTGTTGTGTGGATGTTTTTTTCTTTTTCCATTTCAGTCACTACCCAGAGATGAATTGGAATGCATAATGCGAGTGATCAGTGTCCAAAATGTGAGCAAAAATTTCCTTTGGTGATTAAATAAATGAGAAAGTATCTTGCTCATTGGCCGGAAACATTATTAGAAAAAGAATTATGCAATAGCACATGCACAGCAGTAGTGTTTGTATACTGCCCTTGTGCCATCTAGTTAGTTCCGATATTTTCTTCATCAATGCAAATAGCTCCAAAAAGTACAGAATCTTGTTTCTGGCGTGGGATAAAAAATAAATAAATCTCTCTCACAATTCCTCAAAATATAAACTTGCAAGATATAAACTACGAATTCTTTTTTTTTTTCTTTTCAATTCTGAGTTTACATCTCGCAATTCTGACTTTTTGTGTTTCTGCCATAGAATTAAAAAAAAAAAGTACTTGTGACTTTTCTTCTCAGAATTGTAAGTTCATATCTAACAATTCTGACATTTTTTCACAATTGTTAGTTTACATCTTACCATTCTGTCTATTCTTCTCAGAATTTCGAGTTTATTTCTCACAATTCTGACTTTATTCTCGCAATTCTGAGAAAACGCCTGAATTATGAGTTGTAATATTAGAATTGCGTTGAAAAAATAATCAGAATCACAGACTTTTTTCTTGCAATTCCGAATTTACAGTCTGCATTTCTGAGTTTATATCTCACAATTAAATTGTTCTCTGAATTCTGAGTTTATATCTCACAATTCAGTTTTTTTGTTTGTTTGTTTGTTTTTTGCCACAGAATAAAATTAAGTTAAAGTTAATTGCAACTTTTTATCTCACAATTCTGAACTTTTTTTTTGCAATTGCGTGTTTACATCTTACAATTCCATCTTTTCTTCTTAGAATTTGTTTATATCTCGCAATAGTGAGTTTATATCTCACAATTCTGAGATAAAAAGTCTGAAATTATGAGATGTAACATCAGAATTGCAAGAAAAAGTCAGAATTGTGAGATTAAAAACTAAATTATCTTTCTTATCCCATGACGAAAAGAAAAAAACTAAATTCACTGAATTCAAACTGTCTACTCAAGTAAACACCTCCAACATTGTAATAAACCACCAGAATGCACACATGTGCCACAAAGACATATAATTCCATAACTGATTTTTTCCACAAAAAAAATTCAAATTGCAGTTTCGTGACTGGAAAGAAATATTTATGGTAATTTTTCTTAATTCACCCACCATCAGCAGGTGTGGCAAAGCATTAATTTTGGACAGTACACAACTCTGGAGTGGGTCAAATTGATATTTGTCTTGTGTCACATATCTGAGTATCCATTAGATTTCAACACTTCAACATCAAACATACAGCCCAGATTAACACAGTGCCAAAGCGTATGTCTTATAAAAATGCAACTCTGGCCAAACAAATCATGACATTGAACAGTTGCAAGTCTGAGTGTTTGGTTTGGGATATTGATGTTTTGATCAAATGTTAATGCATTGTGGCATCAGTGCGCTTGGTGGTTAGGACAACCTCCTATTCATCTTCTGATCAGAGCATTGCGAGTCGCCTTTTCTTGCTTCTTTGATCCTGACTGTCTGTAACTTTTATCCTTGTAAAAAAAAAACCTTGTCCAGAAAATTGAAACAATGAATAAATGCATGCACTTCGTAATATATATTTTTTAAATCAGCTACTACATGTTCAAAGTAGTGTCTTTTTTCATGCCGAAATGAGATGCAAGAACCTGACAATTTGGAGACGAATACAAGCTTAATCCCTACAGTGTCAATTAATATGAGGATCGGATATAAAAAAAAATTCTATTTTTGCTGCAAATTCATTTTTACCTTCATGCAGATGGTTCATGCAGAGGAGGCTATTATGCTGTTGTCGTTTATTATTAACAAATCACCTGCTGGAGGAACACAGGATTTGATATTTGTTAAGTATGAAATGGTGTACGACTCATACTATGTATTATTTCATACATTTATGAAATGTTACTATACATGTATAATGTTACAAAAATGTATTTTTTCCAACAAATGCTGTTCCTTTGAACTTTCTATTCACTAATCCTGAAAAATAATGTTCTAAATAATAAAAAAATCATGGTTTCTACAAAAATATGAACTGTTTTCAACCTAGATCATATTTTAGAAATGTTTCTTGAGCAGCAATTCAGATTATGTTAGAATGATTTCTGAAAGATCATGTGATGTGTTAAGTGGTATACTACTTTTATACTGTGTCCATTATGCAAATTTTATGATATGATTGATGACTTTCCATTTCATGTGTGATGAAAGAACTAAGTAAAATCTATGATTTTTAACATCTTTTGCTTAGCTCATTATTTTATTGATTTGATTAAGTGAGCTTGCTTTACTAATTTGATTAAAATGCAAAAAAAAAAAAAACAATCAAAAGATCACATAAAAGGATTTAGAAGAACTATGCAAACATTTCACATACTATTTTACATGCTAACTGCTCAGTATGCAGTAATGCTGGTATTCCATTCTCGACACCGCAGCCATTGGGATCTTTCCTCATCTGAAAATGTATGAGAAGAAACACTGACATCAAGTGTGTTTCCGTGAGAAACTTCCAGGACTTTTTCCAGGTTGTCTTGAATTAATTTGTGTCATGCTCATGCATAATAATGTTTACATCCTTGAAATTTCAAAGCAAAATAGTTTATTACAAATGCACTCTACAAAGAAAGCCAAAAATATAGTTTTAGCATTAATTATGAGCTAGCATATGCTACTCCTCCAGCATCATACGACATTTCCTGACATGACTGCTATTAAAATAGGCCAAGTGTTGAATCATAAGAAAATACAAACAGCATAATAGATAGCGACAGCTTTCAAAATTTGCACAGTCCGTAACACCATCCCTCTGGATTATTAATCTTGAGCAGCTACTGAATAGCACCCAAAAGAGTGAATGAGGTCAAAAATTCTGAAAACACTTTTAGTAACCTGCTTGACTAGCTAACTAGAAGTTGTTATGCTACAGACATACTAACGTATGTTAGAAATGTTAATGTTAGTCTATGCTGATTAGCTGGTTTAAGCTGGTCAAGCTGGTCTCCTAGCCTGACCAGCTAAAGAAGTGGTCAAAACCCCTCTAAAATCAACCCGCAAACCAGCTTACTCTGTTTTTTTCAGCAGTTGCTCAGCTTTTAGGATACATAAGCTAAGAGGAAATAGTTTAATGATGTCAAATGACATTAAATACAGCCCGTAAATTAAATTACACTTAATGTGACAGTTGTTTTAATTTATTCATTCATGGTTATTCACTGTCATCTGTCACGTTTTATGTTAAATTAAAAATTATGTTAAATTAAAAACCTAATGAGATATAAATGGTAATTTTTATAATTGTTGATTTGCTTGAAATGAGATGTATGCGGCTGACAAATGTGACCTCTCAAGGAGGTCGAAATGACACTACTATTATTTTATTATTGTGAGAACTGTTAATTATTGTAAGCTAATATTGTGAGAATTTTTCAACACTTCTAAAACCATCACACCACATGAAAGTGATGCAGGCTCTTTTGCGTCATCACAATGTTATTGGTTTCATGTTATAGATAGGTGAGAAACCGTCGATAGAGGCAGAGGAAGTGATTATCGGATGATTGATCAGAGCATTCTTTTAGCTCTATTTTTTTTGTACCCACCAATGACAGCTTTTGTACTGCCACAAAAATTACACATTTCACCTTCAAACTACAGCTTTCCCAAAAGTTCCATTATGATTACAGATACATGTATAGATAGAACAATCGCGGTGCATGTTCCCTTTTGAGTCTTAGCTTTCTCTAAGTTCTTCCACAACCACATGTAGTCTGAACTGAGCTGAAATAAAAAACAAACAAAAAAAAAACAAAAGGGAAACTGCTTCTCTTTCTTTCTCATCACTTTAGTTATGTAGCTAATGCTTGCTTTAGAGAGGAAAAAACTTCCAGAAAATTACTCTACCTCTCACTTTCTGTAAAATGTATATATATATATATATATATAGCCCAGGCCTAAAAGCCTAAAGCACAGGTCTGATTGCTCATGGGAACCAGCCTGGCCGTTCCAGCACAATGCTCCCTCATCAGAGTAAAGTAAGGCTCTCTTCATCAGTGATTCATACTGCTGATGTAACAGCATGTGGAACTGCTCTGCACACACTTACAGTCGGTTCATGAATATACTGAAGAGAATGTAGTCAACAGCTTTAGAAAAACTAAATCTTAGTCTGTCTATCTAATCACATTGAGAGAAATACAAATATAGATGTCAAGTTTAATAAATTCATGGTTTATTAATGCCCCCTTTAGGATGTAATGATATAATAATTTTCCTCGTCAGATGTTGCAAAATGACATATTACATATATATATATATACACACACATACCCCTTGCAGAATCTGCAAACTGTTAATAATTTTAACAAAATAAGAGGGATCATAAAAATCGCGCTATTTTTTTTATTTAGTGTTGTCCTTAATAAGCTATTTCACATAAAAGATGTACTCCAAGACAAAATAATAACTACATTTACAAAAACTACCCTGTTCAATACATACTTGATTCTTTATACTGTGTGTCATTACCTGAATGATCCACAACTGTTTTTATGTTTTGTGATATATTGTGATATTGTTCCGAGTCCCTTGATTTTCATGAACAGTTAAACTGCCCACTTTTCTTCAGAAACATTTTCCAGGTCCTGCAAATTCTTTGGTTTTCCAGCATATTTTTACCCTTTCCAACAGTGCCTGTATCATGTGAGATCCATCTTTTCACATTGAGGGATTCATACACAACAATTATAAAAGGATTAAACATTCACTGGTTATCAAGAAGGAAACATGATGCATTAATAGCCAGGGATGAAAACTATTTGAATTTCAATTACTATTATTCAAATTATTATTCTTAACATTTTGCAGGTGTGTTCTTCAAATAGCACACATGCCTACTGCACTACAAAGACATGGGAGGATAACAAGCACAGCTGCAGCAAAATTAGTGCAGATTCATCTGGATCAGAGAGTTCGAATGAAGAGCCCTCGTAGTAGTTTAAAAGACTTTTCTCATTGTCACTTCAATGCACAAACCTTCAGATCATGCATTCAGACTCCTCAGGAATTAAGGAAGCAGGAGCTGAGATGAATGATGTATGTGGAACAATAGAGGAAGACACTTTTTGCCTCCAGGTATAATCTGTTGTCATGATGGGCACAAGCAGCAAAACATCATGACCACATGTCAATTAT